GATATACCAGTGTTTCCCCCTGAGAAAGCTAAGAGCTAGAAGATGGAGATTCATTTTTTATTAGATATATTCTTATACTGCTTAGATTTTTCACCCTATATATTAAATTTTCAAAACATACATTATATGGAGCTGTGGATGTACCTCAGCAATAGTGTTGCCTAGCATGCACAGGACCCTGGGCTTGATCTCCAGCACAGCAAAAAACAGTAAAAATTAATCATGTATATTTATGTATACAAAACAGAAGCTATATAGGGGAAGTACAGGCAAAAAAAAATGGGAAGGGTGAAGCCTGGCTCATTGTACCCACCCAACTTCCAGTTTCCTGGGCCATAATCCAGCAGACCCAGGTTTCTGTGATTTTCCCTGAGTAACACCGTGCTCACTTTATAGAGACAAGAACGTCAAAGACTGGACATGAACAGTACAGAACCCCTATATCCAAATGTGTCTTCTTTTTCAACATTCATGAGACCCTTATCTTCATAAATTGTACTTTTAATTAAGGCATAGTTCACAGCTGCTATTCACTTGTTTTCAACACACCATTTCTACTTACAGTCTCCATGTTCCCAACAATGGCATATGCTGCAAAGACGGAGGCTTGTGAAGGACTTTTATTCCACAGTAAGTACCCTAACTGCCTATGTGTTCTTGGCAATAAACTCTGGAGAAACCACCAGCTCACGCCTGGCCCAGCTGGCCAATTATTCACCAAGGAGATTTTCTGATGGCATAATGCTCATCATTAGTCCTACGACAGTTTGGAAAGCACTTTTAGTAGAGAGCTCTTTAAATGAAATTAAACCAGTGTTTGAGCAAATCCACATCAAGGAGTCAAGAGGAATAATTAAAGGAGTGAATGCTTTATTCTTCAGTGTTTAATAGAATACATAACAAGTCACATAATCAATGATTCACTACCTCACACACAGAGAGGAAAACAGTATCGAGTATTTGTTATACAACTGGTTGTGAACAGGGAAAACAAAAATCTCTAGACCATTTAGATGATTGAAGAAATTCTCAAAATTCAGGCATCTCTGAAAAGACTTCATCAGTCTTTTTTAAAAAGAGAGGGATTTTTTTCCTTTCTTGGCTTTCAGTTAGAAAAGTCAGATTCTCTTATATTTTTTCCTCTCCCCTTTTGAAAAAATGGCTCAATGATATGTATCATTTAACATGTAACATTTTCAACAAGTTCAGAATCCCAGAGAGTTATGTGGAAATCTTATGCTATTTAGCAAATGAGTTTTTTCAGATGCCTGGAAAAATTTAAACAACATTTTCAAATGCTGTTTATAAATTAATTACATTTTCAAAATTCACATCCATGAAGAATATTTTAACCTTTTGTCATTAAAAGGTCACTAATGTTGCTTGAGTGGTCACAGTGAATTTTCATTTCTATTCAATGGTATTAGAAAATTCACCTGCCTATAAACTGACAAAGACAGTTGTATAATCGTTTATGTTACACTTAATGTCCACATACCTCAAAACACATTTAGAATTTAAAAACTAGCTTGGAAGAAAATCACAAAATGCAGAAGTAATAAGAATTCTTGGTCAACAAGTTCATCTTCTTCCCACAAAAGATTATACTCTAGTAGAGACATTTTGGTTGAATTTCTTCCATCTAAATCCTCAGTATTATCAGAGAATCTAAATCCTCGAGCATTAATATTTTTAGATTCTTCTTGTCCCAAATTCTGACAAAGAAAAGTTAACTTCAACGTAACTTGTTTCTGGTTATAAGAAAACCTATTTCAGGTACTAAAGATAACTGGTAATAAGAGTACTATATTTTATTCATTTCTCAAGAGACAGACTTGGGTCATCTAAAAAGATTAATTCATGTTTTATATGATTTATAGGAAAGAAAAATGGGAAACTGCAAACAAAGGACCAACATTGATAGGTTTACAATAAAAAATTCAGTTTACTATTTTTAAAATAAGTCAATTATGTATAGTACTTTTAGACTATAAATGAAAGTCTTAAGGAATTCAACCTCTCCAATCAATATTTTTCTAAATGTCTGCATGTAAATTACTATTTTTCACGTAGTAGTACAAAATTATGTTAATATTAGACTGGAATTTACCATAATTTGAACAGTAAAAAAATTATCAAAGTTTCACCTTACATGGCTTTAATGTAGTAGTAACATTCCATGGAAAATTCCAATAAAAATTAGAATATGTTATGAGCACTGGGATTTGTCCATTTGATCTGAACACATTATGCATTTCCTCAGAGAAACAACAAGTTATATATTTTTTTCTCATAATTGTTTGAAAGAGAAGTTTGGCAGTAGTATAAATTATCACTTTGCTATCAATTCAAGATCCAAATAAGAAACACAAGAATAAAAAGTGTTAAAAATGAAAAAAAATTAAGTCTCATACCGTCAAGGAAATTTTCCACAGCATAGTATTTTAAAAATTAGGATATGGTTCCTAGTCTACATATATGACAAAGCAATGTGTCAAATACTTGGTTCAAAAACATAAAACATGGTACCTGATTTTTTTTAGCCATCACTGTCAATGGCTTTTAAATGTCAGTTACATTTATGCACATTTATGTTAATTTATGCAGTAATTAGAGCAACATATGTGAATGCTTGCCTCTCTGAGTCAGACACTGCAGTCATAATTACCCGAACAGTTTACAACATTCTCCCAGGTAATTTGAATGGTGTCTTTCCAGGGCTAATTCAAATGGACACTGGATACCTTATTTCAGCTCAAGAGTGAAGACCAACATTTCAGACCACTTTGTAGACCTTAAGGTCTCTTTCTATAGTCCGGAGCACATGGAGAAAAAGGGTCCAAAAGTGCTCATGCCAAGTCATCTTTCTTTAGTTATACTATATACCCAACATAAAATAAGTTGCCTGCTCAGTCTTTACCACTGAAAGTAGACAGTTTTCATGTACTACCTAACCTCAGAGGGCACAGTGACTCTTAGAAAAAAAAGAGGTGGGTTTACAGTCCCTAACATTAAATTCCCAGTCTATTAAATAACGTAGAGAACGCAGGATCGGGGTTAGGGGTGGGACAGCTAAGATGCCCATGTGTAAGACAGTGAGACAGTTCAACTCAAAGTTTTACAAGGTGAAACTTGTAAGAGTCAATTGGCAGAGACAAAACTTTAGCATCTTTTTTATGCCTCTTGGAGCTGGGCAGACTTGACCAGAATCAGATTTGCGGAGTCATGCCATCTGTCAGTATTAAAGATGTTCTCAACCATGTGCTTTTTTGTTGAGCAATCCAACAAGGATGCCATGGGGTAGAGAAATCTCTGTGACACATGATGGGTCAGTGAGTGACAGATCTAAACCATTTCAGACCTGAAACAAAGTTCTGATGTATTAGTCAGAGAATAACTCAACATATAAGCAAACAACTTCCTAGGTTTCTGCTTCCATTTCCCCTAAAATTAGTCTTTGTATATAATGCTAACTTTTCTAAAATATGTAACTAGAACTTACCTCTATTTCCCAATGAAAATGAATTAGTGAATTAAAATTACAGGTACCTTGGTTTTAAGTAGAAACTTAATGAACATATGATTAATATACAACTAAGATCCTAGCCAAAAAAAAAAAAAAGTATGGCACAAACTCAGTTTACAATTACATAATTTTTCCTGGCCCAATCTCCCATACACAAAAACATAAGAAACTCGACAGAACATGTTGTTTTAGTTATATACACCATCTGATGCAAGTTACAGGGGGTAAATATAGGAAATTTTATAGCATTAGTAAATGAATTAAAAAACTAAATAATTCTTGTAAAATGTTTATATATGGTATATACAGATTGAATCACGTGTCTAAGAATAAAACTGTTCCAATTTGTAACATGTCATGAACATAGTAAGATACAGTACAAGATTCATTTTTTTAAAGAAAAAATAGCACTAAACACTGAAAACGAGTCTTATAAAATCTTTAAAAACATATTTCAGAGAAAGATGCTGAAACAAACAAAAAGGCTTCTCCATCATCACAGAATATCCAAAGGATGCCTCACAGTATGAGGAGGATTTGAATCCCTTCTCTTAAGGTATACACAGGATATACACTAGGAATTTATTCCACGTGAGAGTAAAGGCATAAGGCAACCAGGTCTCCTGTTCCTGTTGCATTTATCTAAAACGCCATTTTATTGCTCAGCTCACTTTTAAGTACTTATTTGCCCTCGTTTAAAATATTCTTTTTTTACAGCCATCTACAGATGGGCAGCCCTCAGTGCTTATATTTTTCTGCAGCTCTGTCACTTGAAAAGATTCCACTTTACTTTCAAACAAATTACATGAAAGAAGGGACATGTTCCAGGTTTTCAGGTTTGCCCAGAAGTCAACATTAGCTGGGCTTAGAGAAAGTTAAGATTTTTAACAAGAAACCTTAAGTCTAAGTAACCAAAACCAAAGATTTTGCCCAAGTAAATAGATTTTTAAATCAGGATTTATAATCATAAAACAGAAGTTCAAAAACTAAAACCGTACTGGGTTACTCTTTGGTTAGGATATACGAGTACTAACAACTTCTAAGTTTAGGACTCAAAGCAGTTTAATGAACTACCAGTTAGGTCTGTTATTAATCTCAATAAAATGCTTTGCAAGTTTGCGTTTGTTTTGTAATTTTTAAATGTGCATGTCCTCAAACTTTGGTACAGACTTCCAATTTTCAGATAATAAATGAGTATGTCTGCTCCTCCCTTCCCACCCTTCCTCCCCTCTTTCCTCCCTCCCAACCCACCCCCCATTCCTAGAGCTAATGGTTGTATGGTCCTACTGTCCACAACAACGTACACTACTACCCGGCCGCATTTAGTCACTGCCACCTAACACCCCGCAGCGCTTGGAGTCCCCAGCGGCTCGCCCTCTTAGGAGGCAGCCAGCGCCTTTACTTCTAGCCTATGAGGGCTGCCATATCAAACCACGGAACGGGCCCAAGGAGAAAGGGCGCCCCCGCAGGCAGGAGGTTCTCTTTCTACAAGTTTAAACCACAGGCGAAGACCTATTGTGTGTGCCAAACATCCAATCTTTCACTGTACCCGCACTAGTCTTCTACCTCCAACTCATCAAAACTTTACTCATTTACAGTCACTGAATTGGCTCCGTGGGGTCTTAATTCCAGTATTGAAGTCTTCCATTCAGTCTTCTAAAACTACTTTAAAGAGACTGTAATGATCTTTAAAAAAAATAAAAAAATAAAAAAAAACCACTCTCCCAGACAGTGTTATCAGTTCTAGCTCTTAAAACGCATATGAGTCAAAAAGGCTTGAGATTTCAAGAAATCTTCTACACACTGGACACCCCCCAATTCATTTTTCCCAGGTACTTGGTGACTTTGTGGCCACGCTGCCCCACTAGGTCCAAGCTGAAGTACAATGGTGGGGGAGGGTGCTTTGAGGCCGGGAGTTAAGGAAGGGTGGGATGGGAACTAGGTCTGAGAGCTCTAGGTTAGCAAGGTCCACAGAAAACGAAGCCCAGAGGATCTGTGGCTGCAGATTCTGCAGTGAGGGCTGACAAGTCTGGCCGAGCTACTGGAGAAGGTGGGAGAAATCGGGGAACAGTGGGCAGGTGGGGGTAACCTATAATTATCCCCGCAGCAAGGAAGAGGGGAAGTGGGCGCTGGAGTCGCGAGGGGTCTAGGGAGCTCACTCCCTGCAGAAGACGTACTCGGTGTAGCTGGTCCAGATCTTGTCCTCGCTCTGGTCGGTACTGCTGGCAAAGGCGCAGGTGCCGGTGGAGCTGCACGCCACCATGTGGAAGCCTGACTCGGACAGCTTGTCAAAGGCCTGCTCCAGGAAGTTAAACTTGAGGTAATAGCGCGAGGTGTAGCGCTCCGGGGGCCTGTCGGGGTCCCGGCTCTCATTCAGGGTGTCCCCGAACACTTCCTTGGCCAGCGACGTCTTGCCGCACACGGTGATGCGCGCCACCCGCCGGAACTTGGCGTCCGCCTGCGCGTCCCGCCCGATGGTGTAGGAGCCGCGGTAGCCGATGGTGATGTAGCCAGAACGCCGACTGCCGTCCAGAGACTGGGACGGCGTGAGCAGCGGGCCCGCCGCGCCCCCGGACGGGCTGCGGCTCGCCAGCTCCAGCGTGGGCGACGGCGCCCCGGCCGAGGCGCCCTCCTGCTGCTCGGGCTCTGCGTAGCCCAGCGGCAGCAGCTCGTCACCCAGCGACCCCTCCTTGTGCACCCCGCGCCGAGAGTGCGGCGGCCCGAGGCCGGGCTGCTGGGGCGCTCCGAGTCGGCGCACGAGCTCGGGCAGCTCGAAGTACTCGGCCTCGCGCTGCAGCCGGCTGCGCTCGGGGAAGTAGTCGGGCAGCACGAGCTGCAAGTCTCGCAGGTAATCCAGGATGTATCGGAAGAGGAAGCCGTCCCGGTCCAGAAAGAAGCGGCCTTTACTGTCCCGGGCCAGCTCCTGCGGCTGCTGTTGCGTGAACATGCGCCAGAGCAAGGAGTCGGGCACCGACACCACCGTGCAGCGCCGGGTCACATACACCTGGCCCCCCACATTCAGCTCCACGATGTCGGGGAAAAGCGGCGGCTCCGCGGAGGAGGACGAGGAGCCGCTACCACCCCCGCCGCCGCCCCCGTTGGGTAATCCGCGCGTGCTGTCCGCCAGGGCCATGGCAGAGCGAGATGTCCCGGCCGGGGCAACGGCAGTGACTGAGGCCGTGCTCCGGGGCCGCAGCCGCCTTTCCAGGACCCCCGCTCAGCCCTGCACCCCGGCCGCCTCCGAGAGCTGTGCGGTGCGAGCGCGCCGCCGTGCACCCCCGTGAGCTCCGCTGCGCTGCGCCGCGCGCTCCAGGCGAGTGCAGGGTCGCGGCCCGCGCGCCGCTTAAGTAGAGCCGCCCGCCCGGGCGCCAGGCGCGCAGGAGGAGGCGTGGGCGGCTGCGGGCGGAGCGGCGGAGCCTCGCCCCCCGGGAGGGGGAGGGGAGCGCCGGGACCGATTTGCATCTCCACGCAGGACGCGGCGACGGGGCTGCTGGCTCCACCCCAGCTCGCGCGCACGCCGGGGACACTCGGCTCCTCTCCACGAGTCCCGCGCTCCCCTTCTCGTCCCGCCCAACTTTCTCCCTCTTCCCGAGGGCACCCATCCCGGACTGGCTGCTCGGGAAGACGGCTGTTCTCTAGAGGCGCCCCCTCCCCTGCCCTCCCCACCAGGGTGGCTGGAAGAGAGACGTGAACTTTCTGGCGTCCCCCGCCCGCCGAGTGGAAATTGCGTGGCTGCCTCGGACCCGCGGACTCCGGAACTCCTCGTTTCAAACAGTGCAGCAGTGACGCTGCTGCATTCAGTCCTCGTGTCTCTGGAAGTTCTCAAGAGGACCAAAATAAACAAACAAACAAAAACCTGGAGAGACAGAGGGGCCAGGCCATCCTGGAAGCAGCCACATTTTACTCAGGTTGCTGCCATACAGATTAGAAAAATCCTAAGAAGCAGAAGACTAATCTCAGGATCCAGCCATAGGGCGCTTTCTGAGAGTTTATTTTCTGTGTGCAGCTTCAGACTCATTGGTCTGGAAACCTCAAAATAAAAGGCGTTGAGTTGAAATGGCAAAAGGTGTCTTGGGGGTGACCAAGGCAGTTTTCCTCCCCAGCAAAGGGCAATAGTAAGGTCGATGACACCTTTCAACTATCAGTGAATTGTGCCAGAAAATGCAGATCTAATTAATTTTTAAATCCACCTTCCAGCGCCTGCGTGTTTATTCTCCCGAAGGCCGTGACGCCTTTGAGCTCCCTTTGGCCACCATCTTTTCACTCTATTCCAGGTTCTCTCCAGATTGGGAGGAATATGTCTTGTCTGTCTGGGTTTGGGGTGGGAGTGCTCAAGATTGAGCCCAAGACTTCACATTTGCCGCTAGTCAGGCACTCTGCCACTGAGCTGTACATTTCCAGCCCTTGTTTTATATTGAGACAGGGTCTGGCTGAAATGCCAGACTGGCCTCAAACTTATTCTCCTGCCTCAGACTACAGAGTAGCTGAGACTACAGGTACACACCACCACCCTAGCTGATACTTGTATATACGAAGGCCTTGTTTTCTGTTGCTCCATGCACATTGCACTCACTGGTCAGATCGCAATCCACAGGACTCCTCTCTGGGAAGCCTGTTCTCACCAGCTAGGCAAAAGGGGCGTCTAGATTGCTTACACACTTTCTGCCTTTGCTCTGAGCACATTTTGAAATTTCATATTCATGACTATCTGATAACTGACAGGATAGAGAAAGAGATTGAGAAATCATTGGGTCAGTGAATGTTGGTTGTGCACCTGCTATTTGTTAGTGCCAGGTAGTGAAGAATCAAGGTTGAATAATCAAGGTCCCTTCGATGTGATGTAGTCCAGTAAGCAAAGCGTGAGAGGTCTGAGCAGTTTCTGGCTCAGTTTGAAGTTGAGGCCTTCAATCAGGATGACTCAGGCAAGATCTTTGTTCTCAATAATAATGTTTACCCTTCTGTGTAACTGTCCAGTGAGTTTTACAGTCTCCTCACGAATAAGTGTCATTTTCATTTTGAAATGTTTATGTCTACTGAACAATTACAGCACTCATGTCACTGTGCTGAATTAAGATCAAGACCCAAACCAACTCACTTAATTGCAAGTACAGATTTTGATGCTGGAAGTATTTTGCCACTCTTTTTGTGTTCTGTTCTTTGGATAAATAATAGATGACTTGAAAATTCCAAGTTCCAATGCTGAATTTCTAGGTGGTTGTAGTACTGTTTGTTACATCAGTGTCACAGGCCTAACAAAACCGATCTCTTTCCTATAAATCCAAGTAAAACTTTCTTTGTATCAATTGTGGACATATTTGTTAATCATTTCTTAGTTATATTGGTAAATGCTGTGTTATACCTGCAAGATCCTTTCAGGTTATTAACGTCACCATCTCCCTGTCACCATCAAGGATCAAGCCACCATCACCTCTTTCCTGAATTATTGCTTGGATCTCCAAATGTCCTTCCCCTTTGTCCCCTTCAATCTCACCACCAGAACAACAACAACAAAATGGATCTTAGCCTCAGACTTGTCACTCTGCTCAGGGCCTTGCAGTAGCTTCCTGTCTCCCAAGAGCCAAGACCTAAGACCTTCCAGTGGCCTAGAGACCCTCCCATGAGTGACGCTGTTCCCCCACAGCCTCTGACTCATCCCCACCCACTCTGCCAGGAGCTTGCTGGCTTAGCCCCAGTGCCTCCTTCCTGTTTTCTCAGGACTTTTGCCCTTTCTTCTCTCTTTGTCTGAAAGATTCCTTCCAAACTGCACACATCTTTCTGTCCGTCTTTCTGTCCATTTGCCTGTCTTCTCTACTCAGGTCTTCTTTCTTGATCACCCAGTTTAATGCACACAGCCCCACTCTGACAGCTTGCCTTGTTTGTTGTCACTTTCCCCATGTTAGAATTTGAACTCCAGAGTTCAGAGATTTTTTTTCTGCTTCATTCATCGCTATATCAGCAGTATCTAGAACAGAGGTAACCTATTATAGGCATTCGATAAAGTATCTGGTGCGCATTCATTTACTTCACCAATGTTTATTCAGGGCCTACTACTCTGTTCCAGGCATTATGTAAAAAAAAAATTTAAAAAAATCTGCCTTCTTAGAGCTTACAGTCGTGTGAGGAAACAGATAGTAAGTGCATTTTGGGTGGTGATAAATGTCATAAAGAAAATAAGGAAATGAGACAGAGGGATGAGTAGGGATATCAGTCTATATAAAGTGGCTGGAGAAGTATTCTGCAGGAAGGTGACATGAGCTCAGTGATCATAAAGAGACAACCATGTGATGTTATGGAGGGAGAGCATTCCAGGAAGAGGCCAAGCAAGTTAAAGGAGCTTGGACAAGGAAAATGCCTCCCAGTAGTTTATGGAATGGATCATCTGCTTGAATCCTGTAAACCTCTGAAGCACTCTTGAAGCGATCCTTGAGTACAAACTCAGATGTGAAAGAGACTGTGTGCTTCCGCACAGCAGCATTCTGTACTGCTCTCATGCTCCTCCTCCTGACAGGACATACTTTGCCACCATGAGCCAGTAACATTTCCTTATAGAAGCCAGGTTCTGTACAAGACATAATAATGAATGAAACTGGTTTAAGACTGAATAAATGATCTTTTAGACAAAGGGAAAAGAAAGGGCAAAGGCCCTGAGAAAACAGGAAGGGGACATTATGGCTAAATCCATGCTGAGTAATAATAAGAAATTAATTCTGTATGTTCTATTTCTTGCCTATTGGTTGGTTTCACAGAATGTATGAGGAAATATAATTGAGGAACTTTGATTCTGGGGCTACAGAGCCTGAGTATTTATACAGGAAAGTGAATCGTATCTTCATCGTGTCCTCTATGTTAAATATGCTTAATTAAAAGGGAGTCGGGAGGATTTGGAAAACTACTAGCCCTATGTTCGCTTTCAACTCAGTTTCTAGTAATAGATACAGTACATCATTGGCCATTGTTACTTTTCAAATGACTCTATACTTTCCTAAGAAAGCAACAGTATCCTTGGAAATGCTTTGTCCTTTGATCCCAAAGTGTATGATATTGGAACCCTCTGAATCTAAATTCTCATCTCATTTATTCCTTCCTGCTCTTCCAACCAGCTTTCTCCAGACCCACCCCACCAAAGCACTTAGTAAATATTCTGCACCTCAAAGATTCTAGAAAGGAATGAGGAACACTAAAAGAAATAGAAAGCTGAAAGGGGAGGGATAACGGGTGGGATGAAGGTAGTACCTCTAAGGATTGAATGAATTTAGTATATGTGCAAATGAACTATTAGCTGTAAAACATCATTCAAGTGTCAGAATCATTATTTTGCAGCAGGCACTTATCCTGGTGCCTGACAAGTCCACTCAGTAAATGCTGATGGATGAATGAATGGCAGAAATGTTAAAATTAATGCTCTAGAGAAAGAGAAGAAGCAGAGTCAAAAATTGTCCTAAACAGATGTTTGGTGCATTCGTCATCCTCCTGATATGTGTGCATCTTTTGTTTGCAAGCTTTAAAAACCATTGACTTTTTACATTCAGAGGGAGAGCAAAATTGGGTACAGAGATTAATTAAATGATATTAAGTTTAAGTAAACTTCGAAGCAAAGTCATTGTAACAAAGTCAGTGGTAAAAGACATACTAGTATATACCTTTAAAAAGAGAGAAAAATGTTATATGAAGGACATTCCAAAAAAACAGAAAATAAGAAATATCTCAACATGATATGATTATCCTTGTTGTATAATTTTTACCTAACAGAACCAGAGCAATAAAATGTTGGAAATGTTAAAATTTTTATTTCCATGTGCTTACAATGCTTGATGCTTTTCCAGAAATCAAGTAAAAATATGACAGCAAATATTCATACCATTTCTTTATGTCAGTACTGTTTATAGAACTATGAATGTGTTAATTCAATAAAACCTGACAACTCTATCAGGTTGGTACTATTATTGCCCAATTTGGGAATGAGAAACTAAGGCTCAGAAGTTAACTAATTTTCCCAATTCATACAGCAAAAAAACAGCAGAGCTTGGATTTGAACCCAGGCAGCCTAGCTTTAGAGTCTGTATTTTGTTTTTGGGTTTTTTTTGTTTTTATTTTTGTCATTCTGGGGGTCAAACCCGGGGCCTTTTACACTGAGTTACATCCCCAAACCTTCTTATTTTTACTTTGAGACAGGGTCTTGCTAGGTTGTGTTGCCTGGCCTGGGCTCAAACTTCTAATTATCTTGCCTCAGCCTGCAGGAGTGCTGGGATTCCAGGCATGCAGGCGTGTACCACTGCCACCCCCAGTATCCCCTACTCCAGCCACAGAGCTGTGCTTTTCAACATAGCCTCTTGCC